TACTACTACTACCACCACTACTACTACGACCACCACTACTACTACTACTACTACTACTACTACTACTACTACCACTACTACTACTACTACTACTACTACTACTACTACTACTACTACTACTACTACTACTACTACTACTACTACTACCAATACTCACTACTACTACTACTACTACTACTACTACTACTACTACTACTACTACTACTACTACTACTACTACTACTACTACTGCTACTGCTACTGCTACTGCTACTACTACTACTACTACTACTACTACTACTACTACTACTACTACTAGGGTCACACGTCACCTTCGTGTATGCTAAGCATGAGTGGGTAAGGGTAAGGGTAAGGTAAGGGTAAGGGTAAGGGTAAGGGTAAGGGTAAGGGTAAGGGTAAGGGTAAGGGTAAGGGTAAGGGTAAGGGTAAGGGTAAGGGTTCCCATTCGCTTCCAATCGAAATCCAATTAGCATAGTATTCAATTAACATTCAATTATATTGAATTAGAACAGAGTTCAATTAGAATTCAATGAAAGTTCAATTAGAATTCAATGTGAATTCCATTAGAATGGACTTCCATTAAAATTCAATTAGACTTCAAATAGAATTCCACGAGTCTAGAAGTCAATTATAATTCAGTTAGAACTCAATCAGCAGAGAATGCAATTAGAATTCAATGAGAATTCAATTAGACACGAGGGCAACGTGTGGAATTGCATGTTCTGTGTGGTTTCTTAATGAAAGCTGCATACACGGAATACAAAACAGTAGTACACGAAGGTGACGTGTGGAACAAACGACATTTAGGGCGACACGAACGTGACGTGTGGAATTGCATTTTCTGCCTGGTTTCATAATAAAAGCGGGATACACGGGATGCAGAACAATAGCACACGAAGGTGACGTGTGGAACACACAAAGCTGTGGGGCGACACGAACGTGACGTGTGGAATTGCAATTTCTGTGTGTGGTATCTTAACAAAAGCTGTTTACACGGAACACAAAACAATCGTACACGAAGGTGACGTGCGGAACACACTACAAGATGTTCCCAGACCGTCCCCGAAGCTCCCAGACGCCCCCAGACGCTCTCGGGCGATCTCATGCGCTTTCAGACGTTCTCGGAAGCTCTCAGTGACTCCCGGACGTTTCCAAACGCGCGTAGACGTCCCAGACGCTCCCAGACGCCCCCAGACGCTCCCAGACGCCATCAAATGCCCTTAAACAATTCCTGAAAATGCCCCTCCCGTTCCTCCCGATTCCCTAGGTTTCCTTTGGCCTCCTCTGGATTCGTCATGATTCCACCGAATTCAAAAGGATGTCAACGATCCCGGACATTTCCTGAGGCTGACCAAATTCCTTCTGGCTTCTTCGGGTTCCTGGGGGACCCGCAAGGTCCCTCAGGATTCTCGCGGCTTCTTCAGGACCCATCAAGGTGGCTCAGGACGCCATAGAATTCCGCTGGGCCCGGCATGGTGTCCTCAGGATGCGCCGCTTGCCAGAGGCCATTAGAGGCTGGGGCTCGACTATTTCCTATTGAATTCCAGCTAAAAACAAGAAATTATCAAGGAATTCTGCTGGAGGCCGGGACTCGGCAGTCTCCCCATTGAATTCCGATTCAAAAACCAATAAATTATAAAAGAATGCTGCTGGAGGCTGGGGCTCGACAATTTCCTGTTGCATTCTCATTCAAAACCGTTAAATTATTAAAAGGTTCTGCTGGCCGCTGGGACTCGGCAATTTCCTATTGAATTCCAAATCAAAAACCAATAAGTTATTAAAGAATGCTGCTGGAGGGTGGGGCTCGACAATTTCCTGTTGAATTTTTATTCAAAACTGCACGCGCACCCACCCCCCTCGCGGAGAAAGGGGGGAGGTGAGGGTCGCTCTTTTCCTCGAGCAACAAAGGGCTGCAGGATTTCCTGGATCCTCCAGGACAGTCTAGATTATATTTTATATAATCATATATCTATGTGAAACTACAAACTTCCTAGCACCTCTCCTTGGGCGCTGGAAGCGGCTCGGCCTCCAGCCAAGAAAAGTGAGTCACAGGGAAGCATCTTTGTGCTCCCTGGGCAGGCGTCGCAACGGCGCTGGCCCCCTAAACCCGTCGCGGGGCTGCCCGCTGAGGGCAGGCGCGGGGCATACCGCAGCCTGTAAAACAAAGCTCACTCTCGGCCGTCGTAGTGCTTCCTGCGACCATTCTCCTAGCCCTCTCCGTGGATCACCTGAGAGCCTCTGGAACGGTCTCGGCACTCGCCCTTGAACGTCTCGATCCACTTCTGCGCAGCCTCTGGACTACTGATGTCCTGCAAGCTAAGCTTGGCAAGAGGTCCATGCGCTGTAGCCATCACCCGCAGCTGCTCGATCTCCTTGGCCTGGCGATCCGACAGAACACCTCCGTGCTTGATCATCCTCGTGACCAGGTCTTCTTTGATCCCTGACACGGCCAGGCTCTTGGCCTTCAAGACAGCTCGCAGCTCAGCCACAAGAAACGTGTTTAAGAGCTTGTGCCTTGCTCCCTTGTCCTGCTGTACACACACGGTCTTGAACTCGACGTCAGCCCGCGCAGATGGTGGACACGTGCTTCCAGAGGCGGGGCTAACCGCACCCTGGAGGAGGAACTTGTCGTAGAAGTTCTTGAAGTAGCAACCACACCAGCACCCCAATAAGAAAGTACTCGCTGCAGTCACCATAACAAGTCCCAACATCAAGTAGAACCTGAACTCCTCGCTCTCCACATAGTGGCTGACAGGCGCGGGGCAAACCGCAACCTCGTCAGATCCTCCGTACACTGTCACCTTCTCGCCTGACGCCTTCGTCACGACCTCCGTGAAAACTGCCATTGCGCTCAAGCCCGTCATCTGCTTTCCGAACCTGAGGTTGAGAGTGGTGCAATGCTTCTCGATTGTCGGCCACTCGCTGTACTTCGTGAGCATGTCGGCTGTCATCTTGCTGGTGTCCTCCTTGTGAAGCTCGAACGCCTTGAGACGCAACCGCTCCTGAATCCACAAGTACCTCAGCTCCAGATGCCTGACCTTGCCCACCCCAACTCGGCTGCACATGCCACGTCCAGCTGTGCTGTCACTATAGATCTTCAGGTTGCAGGGCCTCTGGGTCTCGATCAGGTAAGTCTTACACTGAAGTCCTCTGGCTGTCGCACTTCCCGTAGCATACATCTCGGATTCCCCTGAACTTAGGGCTATCGTACTCTGCGTCACTGAGTAGCAGTCCCAAGTGTGGTCGCCATACCTCACAGCTCCTCCACTGGTAGATCGTCGCTGTAGTTCACTCGTAGGTGCCCAATCCGCGTCACCATCTACACGAATGCCTTCAGGAGTACCTTGAAGTGGGTAACACCAGACCAACACAGGTTGTCCTTCATAGTACCTTCCAAGTCGCTGAACACGCGCATGCATCAAAACGTTCGGGTTGGAGACGTGCTGCATCGCTGTCTTGCTGGCGTACATCGTGTCGGGCCTGTCCGAAGAAAGGTAAAGAGCGGTGCCTGCTGCACCCGCCACTTCTCGAGCACGATCCTTGGAAAGAAGGTCTAGGCTGTCTCGTCGGCCTTGTCCTGTAGCTTTCGTTCCTGGAGTAGGAGCTGGTTTACAACCTCGCTTCTGCGTCCACTTGATCATGAAGTCCACATGCTTGGGATCGGCAGTCCAGAAGAAACCTGGCTCCTCGCAACCTGGCAACTTGTCGGTGTAGCCGATCGTCCTCTTGAGGTATGTAGTCTGCCCCACCGCTCCTGGTCCAAGTCTGGCGCTGGCCGTGACCTCAAACTGCTGCTTCAACAACTCGTCCAGCTCGTCCAGCTGCTCGTCGTAGCCTTCAGCAAGAAAGTCATCGCCATGGCAGATCGCTGTGCTATCCTCGTCGAAGGGGGCTGTGTTGGGGCTAGCAGGTAAGTAGAACACGTTAGGAGTTCCAACCAAGCATTCCCAATGGCCGTCGTCCATAGTAGTTCTCACAAGCTCACCCCACATCTGCGACGCCTTCCTGGTACCGTTCATGGCCTTGCGTAACCACCAGCACCTTCCAGGCGGACACAGCTCTCTCCCAGGATGCACGTAGATCGTCTCGTCTAAGTCAGCGTTGAAGAAAGCCTTCCTGACGTCCCAGACTTGTATCTTCCGCAGGTGCTGCCCGCTGGAAGTTGGACTTGAAGCGGCACGGCTCAGCGTCGCTCTGACAATCATGAGCGGGGGCGTGCCTTGGTGGTTGTCCTCCCTGACCTCGTACTTGTTCACCTCGGTTGCTACGAACCTCCACCTGACCTTTCCTTCTTTCATGTGGGCTATCGGGAAACCTCCAATGTGCTTGCCGTCAGTCGCCGTCGATGTCGCCACTTCCACGTAGACCCCGTAGTCTTTCATGGCCTGCAGCTCGTCGTCGCGACCCTTCTGATACAGGTCCTCATCCAGAGGCTCTCCAGTATAGTAATCGTAGTGTATCGTCTTTGGGCTCCACTGGTCTTTCTCATGCAGCTCGGCGCTCACCTCAACCATCTGCTCCACCTGCTGATCCTCAGGATCTCCGAAGTGGCTCCTGATTGTGCCGATGTGGCTCATCAAACATCTCCTGCATGCACACTCAGCTTGGTGGCATTCTCGTAGCTGGCATCGTGACGAGTGCTTCTCACACCTCTCGGAACATCTCGCACTGCGCTTTGGGTGTGGATCCCACATGGGGTCGAAGCTCTCGTCGTAGCCCTCCTCGCAGACTGCCAACTCACAGACAGAGAGATGCCCAATGCTTGCTACCCTGGGCTTCTTGACCTCAGCTCCTTCACGAACTTCACCTGGGGCACTTCGCCGAAAGTCGCTCCTGAGCTCGCCACTCTCCGTGTCCATGGCTGTCTGCACCTCAGCCTCTCCTGGGCCAGGGACCATAGCTACGTCGCTGGCAGCAGGTGCGGGGCTCACCGCAACCTCACTGCTGCTTGATGCCGCTGCTCCTCCTGGTGCGGCTCCAGGCGCGGGGCTACCCGCAGCCGGTGCTGGCACCACGACTGTAGCCTCAGGGGCCACAGGGTCCTTTGCCAACTTCTCGCGCAGCAAGTCGGCCTGAATGGTCTCGAAACGCTGTCGGCAGGCTGCCGAATGCGAACCGTATCCTGTACTGCACTTCCTGCACTCGTCAGTAGGACCATGAGCATCGATCATGCGCTCCGTGATGTACATGCTGCGTCCGATCGTTCCTGAACTCTTGTCGGGCGTCTGCTTCCAGGGCGTCACCCTGATGTGCTGGATGAGCTCGGGCTGCCATCTGAACTCCTCAGGCATCCTTCGCACCGTTCTGACCTTCTGCACTCCACGTTCAGGATCGATCACGAGATGTGTATCGTCCAGCTCACTCTTACCAACCCAGATTCCTTTCGCGAAGCGGGCTTCCCATTTGCCACGTCCCGCGGCAACTCTGGCTGAGATCCGATACCAGACCTGCTCACCCATCTCCGCAATCTCGCCGTTGTACTCTTTGCCGTAGAGCATCTTGTAGGAGGAACCTCCGTGACTGCGAGGCTGGAATCTGGTAATCATCCACCCCACTGAGTTCACAAGCCATGGCACGATCGGATCCGTCATCTTGATCTCACAGCCCAGCTTGTGCTCCAGCTTCAGCTTGTAGGCTCGAAGTAGACCAGCTGCTAGCTTGTTAGCTCCTTCAGCGTAGCCTGCACTCTGCTTGGAAAAGGGCGGTGATCCCCGCACCAAGGTTGAGTGTGATCTGCGATCTCGAACTGCCTGCGCCAGAGCCATGGTGGCAGGCTCCTGGTCTGTCTGAAGTATGACTGTTGTGTGGCCCCAAGCTTCCAGCACGCCTAGCAGGAATGACACCTTGTAGTCATCCGTCTCCTTGTTCGCGTACAACGTCGCCTGAGCCAAGATCTTACAGTCGATAACATTCAAGACAGAGACCGCTTGGTCTAGCTCGGCCTTCGTGACCGACATCTTCTCCCTGATGCTGAAGTAACCTCCTTTAAGCTTGTACTTCGCAGCCAGCTGGTCCGTCCCTACGTAAAAGATGTCGAACATGACCTTCGGGATCTTGTTCTCATCAGCTGGTTCCTGAGCGTGGTGTGGGTCATCGTCTGCTCGAGCCTGCACGCAGATGGGACACCAAGGCCGAAAAGGTAGATGATGCCCTTCGTGCGCGGCTCTCTCCGCAGCACTAGGTTGGTGAGGAGTCTTCAACACTCTCGTTGGCACAGTTGTGGTCTCATCAGCTTCAGGACCTAGAACCTTCGGCAAAGATCCAGCTTCCTGTTCAGCTGGTACCTTCCTCGGTAGCGTCTTTCGTACCGCAGCTACCTTTGAAGCTTCTGGTTGAGTCTGGCCGTCGATGATGTGATCGTACTCTAAGTAGTAGTTGCCTTGGTGACGCCGTAGAGGTACGAACTCAGCTCCGTCAGGTGGCTCGACGGTACCGTTGATGATCCAGTGACCTGCAGGGCTATGAAGAACACTCTGACCACGTTGTACTACAGCATCTGTAGCCACAACTGGGTACTCCACATCGGCAACCTCTGCACCGACTTGAATAACCTCTCCTCCTCGGGATAGGTTCAGCTCCACGTGGCCGTACCTCTCGATCTCCTCGCCTCCTATGCCCTTCAAGCCGACAACGTTGCTGTCCGTCGGCGTGTAGTTATGCTTGGTCACCTGTGATCTCGGTATCGCACTGATCTGCGCACCTGAGTCGAGCATGATCGCATTCCGAAGCGGGGCTAACCGCAATCGGTCATCTGCAGGGCTCTGATCTTCATCCACGGGCCGAAGACCAGCGACGGTGACATGCCTGGGGCCGGCCAGCGCGGGGCTCACCGCAGCTGGCACATCGCAGCACTTACTGATAGTCTTTCTTGTGCTTCTTTGGTCTTGGCTTCTCGTTGTCGTCTGGCTCTTCCTCGTCCTTGAACCAGTTGTCCAGGCAGTACTCGGCACACGCGGCACAGTAGTCCAGCTTCCACTGATCGAAGTGCCATCGCCATCCTTCAAAGGTCTTCTTGCAAGAGCAGCAGACATATTGGTGGTAGCTAGGCAAGCAGTACTTCCAGTCGATCGTGTGGCTGCGCTTCTTGAGACCTCTGCCCTCAGGGCCAGAATCATCTTCGCTTGCAGCGCACAGTTGACTGGGCGCAGCACCTGCTGAGTCATCGAGCTGTCGGCGCTTCCTTGACTTCTCAGCATCTGTTGTGTAGGTGCTGTCGAGCTTGATCCTGTGCCCACTCCTGTCTGCCGTAACCTTTCGAGCTCCCTGACTGCCGCTGCCCCGATCTTCTTCTTTTCTTTTGCCTTCTCTTTTCGGAGCTGCTTCTTGTCCTTCTTGTCCTTCTCGGATGTATTCTTCTCGTCGGCGATCCGCTTTCGGCAGTTTGCGCTGCGGTGGCCCTTCTTGTGACAGTAGTGGCACTCGATCTCGGCGTCGGGATTCGGTGGCCTCTCCTTGCCCTTGCCGTCTTTCCCTTTGCCGCGGCCTTTCCACGGTCTCTTTCCGCCCTTCAGCGCGCCTATCTCCATCGGGTCGTCCTGAACCGCTCGCTCTGCCATCAACGCCGACACCACCTCGGCTCTCAGGAGCTCGTACGTACTTAGCCGACTGCTGTTCCGAAACACGTGCTTCTGCAGCTCGTCGTGATCCTTCAGCGCCTTTGTAAGGATGCCTCGCTTGATCAGGTCCGAGACTGGTTCTCCTGCCATCTTCTGGTACCTTGTCATGTCCTCGTCCAGCTTGCTGATGCTCACCATCACGTCTTCTTTGGCTTCGAACTTCGTGTCCGTGAGCTTGGTCCACATCGCCAGCACGTTTCCTGCCTCGCTCGGGTTGTACTCCTTCTGAAGTTTCCTCCAACACTCGGCTCCTTCTCCTACTGGGCTGTTCCTCACGATCAGCTCGCCTACTGAGTCC